TGTTGTATAACGTATAAAATTTCACGCAGGTCTGAGGATGTACACTGAAGTTGCAACAACTTCCTGTTTCATGGCGAATCGTCGACGCCACGGACACGCCCATTGACGAAAACAAGCAGATAGCACAACTTTACATCGTCAATGCCTTTAGAGGCACAGCAGAAATGTGAAGTAGATCCGACTAAATCCCTGAGAAGAGTTCATTAAAGTGCGTAATGAGTAAATCCTACCCTCTCACGACCAATTCGTACGAATTCGTACAAGTGATTAAAAAGTGGCTAATTCGTTCGACCTCACTCGTTCGAATTCATACGATTTGTCTAAACCCACGTGATGGTTAGGTTTAGGGGCGGGATCAGGGGTAGGTCATTCGTACGAATTCATACGAATTGGCCAATTCGTAAAATATGTACGATTTAGCAAAATCGTACTAATTTGCCTCGTAAAATTCGTACGAATTCCCGTGAGATCGGGTTGGTAAATCATCCAAAAATGGCGGTAAAATTAGAAATGGCTGACTTCCTGTTGAGTTTAGGGCATCACTCCAAGAGACTTTTCTGTGTGTCTGGACATGGTAGATGTACCACAGAAATTTCGTTCATGTTGGTCAAACATGCGGCGGGGAGTGTGTAAAACATCCCAAAATGGCAGCCAAATTCAAAATGGCGGACTTCCTGTCGAGTTTAGGGTAAGGGTTCTTGAGGCTTTTTTGTGCGTCTTGATGTGATGCACGTCCCCACCAAATTTCGTGCATGTAGGTTGAACGTGGACGAGGGGCTAATTTTTTCCAATTTTCTAGGTGGCGCTATAGCGAGTCTAGGTGGCGCTAGCCATCTGCGATACCCACAAATTATATTTTTCACCAGTCCTGACATGCGTGCCAAATTTGGTGAGTTTTTGAGCATGTTGCGGCCACGAAAATGCACTTACTTCGCAGAAAAAAAATATAAAAATAATCCTAACAGTTTCAGTTAGTGCTCGGGCCCTGACTAAAACTAATTTGGATTTAAGGACGTTGAATTAAAATGAAATAGGTTTTATTACAGTCATTTTTCAGAATGAAATGCCCACAAACATGTTCTCATATCAAATTTTAAAAGGTAGGTGTAATGTTACCAGCAATCCTAAAGAAAGTAACTATGTTTCTATTGGAAAATCGCATAAAACATTTGCTAATAAAGCAGCTTTTCCATCCCATGTTTTCAAGAGGACAAATCCAACACTTAATAGCAAAACATGTGCTCAAATGCCACTAATGTCCCTCGTCTTCATCATTTGTGTTCAGTGTCTATGACCCAGCAGGTGTTCTGGTGGTGTGAACTATGAAGTCAGTTCTCCTCGGGTTCACACAGGAGTCCAGAATCACGTTAACTAGAAACATGATCAACTAATGCTTCAAAATAACTCTTTTAAACAGACACATGTCATGTATTTTTAACTGTGCAGGCTTAAGTGTCCAAGTTTCGGATCGGTAAGATTTTTTATGTTTTTAAAGAAGTGTCTTCTCAACAAGGCTGCATATATTTGATTAAGGGCCCTTTCACACCTACCCTGTTTGGTCCAGACTTCAGGCCCCGTCCACACTACTGCGTTTTCGTTTAAAAACGGAGAATTAAAACGAATACGATCTCCGTCCACACCAGCGTTTTATCTGCGTATTAGAATTGATCTCCGTCCACATTAAAACGACTGAAAGCGTGGCTCACGTGACCATTCACCAACACTGGGCATGCGCGCGCCGGTGTAAACAGAGGCTGACGAATCAGGGAAGGACACGTCATGACTGATAACACCCAATCATAGAGCAGAGCGTGAGCCTCTGCATCATCGTTTCTAAACTCCTCCGTTTTGTCCCGTCTTCACTAAAACACCCTCCGGAGATTCAAAACGCAAAACGGAGCTGCAGCGTTTCTAAATTTCTCCGTTTTAGGTCTTCGTTTTTAGGACCCGTACACACCGGGACAAATATCAGCCGCACGTTATTCGTCAGCGTTTTTCAACGCGTTTTTTGTGTTCACACCCAAGCGATTTTCGTTGACGATGAGCCGAGTGAACATGCAAATTCATTCCCTGACATTAGATGGCGCCAATTTGCTCTGCAATACCACTCCATATCAGTTCTCTTTTATCAAGATGTTTGTAGTCGCTGTCGCGTTTGTCATATAGTTCTTTATGTTCTGGCACCAACGAGAACAGCAGCTCTACATTAATCTTGCCTCGCATCTTCCTCGTCGTATTTCTTCCTGGCTGTGTAGACGGCGACGGCGATCTTCTTCGCCGTTGCATATGCGTGTTCGGCAAGAGCGTTTTGTGTTTTAGCGCCCCCAAGTTGTGTTTTACTGTAACTTCAGAGGCTCCAGACACATGAGCAAAAGTGGCAATCTCATTGGTCGGGTAGTTTTTGACGCAGTGCGTCAAACTAAAAAAAAGAACCCCAGGGCGTTTTTTTTTTTTAAAAATTACGCTTTTACGCGTGGTGTTTTAAGCGTCAGCATTGGGGCCCTTTGTTTAGTCACGAGGCGTTAAACGTCAGCGAATAACACGTGCGAAATTCATCCCGGTGTGAACAGGCCTTTAGTCTGGACGGGAGGTGCAAACATAGCAAAAGGTCTCCGTTTTTAAACGAAAATGCAGTGTGGACGGGGCCTCAGACTTTTCACTTTGGTCCGAATCAAAATAATAGGTGTGAAACCTCCCCCAGACCACGGTCTGAACCAAACGGATGAAATTTGGTCCGACGAAAAGAGGTAATCTCGGTCCGGATCGAAATGAACAAAGGTTAAGTTCGTTTCTAGTGTGAAAGCATTTCTGTATGGTTTGGACTTTCAGACCTTTTACAGGAAGTTCTGGTGGTTCCCAAAAAGCCGAAAAGACAGAAGGTGGCAGGAGAAATGAGCCGTGTAGCACATGGGGAGATGAGGAGACGAGGTTTTTAATTAAAGTATGGTCTGATGACGTAAGAAGTCAACTTGCAGTCTTCTCCTCCTTTCCTGCCGGCGACGATAAAATGTTCGCATGACGAGGACGTTCATTCGGCGAATTTGAACTAGCCTTGTGTATAGTTGGTGCTGCAGGTAATTATGCCATAAAAATAAAAATAGTTGGAACTATATGGATCTGTTCGTTCATGTTGTCAAAGTTACCCGCCGAATTGACAACACGCAGACGTCAGACGCAAGTCCATTTACTAAACCAATCAATCGGCGAAACTACCGGAAGTAAGCGGGCGCCATTACTGAGCTGTTGCTGGGTAGCGTTGCGCCATTGCCTCCTATTGTTTTAGTTGCAACTTGCGTCCACTGGAATAAACAGCCCGCGATTTACGACTGTCACTAACGTTACAACGTTACCCCTTGTATAATGTCGAGTGGGTAAACAGTTTACGTTATAAATTGTTTCATTGGTGGCAGTAAAATTTCAATTTTGAAGAGAAAACATTGTGAATACCCCGGGTCGACTGCCCCTGTCTGGTGCCGTACGGTTTACAGATTTCCTGGGCGAGTACAAGACGCGGACATTCGCGTATAATAACAATTATTTAATGACATAAAAAAAAGTAAAAAAATATAATAAATATGTGATATAGTGATCAGCAAAATCTCCTCTCTTGCTATTTTTTCTATTCAATTAACATGCTATGGTCATTAAATGGCTTTCCTGAGCTAAATATAACGTTATGTGACATAATTGTTCTCCTGCTGTTATATTGACCACTTTCCATGGTTTAAAAACACTAATTGGTCGATATTATGTATACTTTCTAGCTGTAACGTTACCTTACCCATGCCCGTTGCAATGTGAAAATGAGATAAATAATGGACACAAATGAAAAACATGAATTTTTTTATTTGATTTCATTCATTTATTTATTGTTGCCAAATGGACAGATCTTTTTATAGTTTCCTCGTTAGCAAACGTTAGCCTAGCTAGCTTGCCAAGCTATTTTCATAAATAATCTGTAAGATCGTTTGTACCTTCATCTGTGACTGGAGGCCACTGTCTAACATCATCAACCCAACAAGTCATTCTGCCTGGCTGTAGCTGTCATCGAGGGTGCGTTCGCGTTATCACCGAGGTTTGTTTACATACCGGTGCACATGTCTATGCCGGTGTAACAGCTCAGTAATGGCGTCGCCACAAGATGGCAGCCTACACAGAACGCTCGTCGGATTCGTCTATAGATGATGACGACAGGACGCAAGTATGTCGCATAAAGTTCTTTAGTACGTTCGCATAATTGCAGTGTGAAACCAAACCAAAACTTTCTGAAAAGTATAAAATTTATCAAAATATGAACTTTGGTTTGGACCTTGGTGCGGACTTTCAGGTGTGAAAACGCCCTAAAAAAGTAATATTTTTAAATATGACAATTTAAAATAACTGTATGTGAATAGCAAAGTGTAATTTACTCCTGTGATCAAAGCTGAATTTTCAGCATCTTTACTCCAGTCTTCAGTGTCACACGATCCTTCAGAAATCACTCTAAATATGTGGATTTGGTGCTCAAGAAACATTAATAATGATTAAAAATGCTGAAAACAGTTGTGCACAAATTCATTTTTCAGGATTCTTCGATGAATAGAAAGTTCAAAAGAACAGCGTTCATTTTAAACAGAATCTTTTGTAACATTATAAATGTCTTACCTGTGATTTTGATTTGATCCTCGATGAATAAAACCATTCATTTCTTTTATTTATTTATTTCCCCCGACAAAATAAAATACAAATTCTTACTGACCCCCAACTGTTTAATGAAGTTTCTGTGCATCAAATCAAAAGAATCCTGAAATAAAAATGTGAATAACAGTAACCCAGCAGCACATGTCAGGACACGAGTTGTCAGTGGCACTGAGGTCACTGAATAGGGAAAGTGAGTGAGTGAGTGGAGGGGAAGATATTGGTGTTACACCCTGAGTGTCAGCAGCACAAGGTGACGGGGGATGGGACGGGGCGGGGGAGGTGAGACTGTGGGGGTCAAACTGAAGTAAATTATACCTTACCAGAGGTCTGACACAGGCATACTGCCTGGTGCTGTTTAAAGAGCGGTAAAGTCATTTGTCAACTCTATCCTGCAAAGATAAAGGGCAGGAGCAGAGGATATTATGTACATACCATTTCTACAGCCACACAGATGCACACTAGTGACTTTTGCAAAAGGGGATCGTTGAAATCATCTCAAAAAGTGACATTAGCCGACATTAGCATCTGCTGTCTGACAACACCTGAAGTTGGGCAGTTAGCATGCGGCTAAGCTAATTATGGCTAGGCTACTACAAATACTAGATTTAAGTCCATTTTAAATTAGACCTCACTATCTCAAAATGTTCTGGTGCTGCATGCCGATCTACATTCACGTATCTGCTTTTTTAGGTCAGATCCTCCACCACTCAATCTGCATGTTTTATCAGGTAAACAGACCGCACCCAGCGCAGACGGAGCGAGCCCGAGACTCCTGCAAACTCAGAGAGTCTGACGCAGATAATGTGAGTGTGTGACATCTCCGCCTCCTTATCCCCCCACACACACACACAGTTAGCCGTGGGGTGATTGGAGGAAGTACACAGGGCCCAAAGGAGGGGGAGGAACAAGAACGGCCCTCTCAGGACAGATCTGTACTGGACTAAAACTCACACATTCGACGCAGGGGTTCGTCACTTTAACGAAACGATAATAAAAATAATAATGGTAATGTTCCATTTAATAATATTAGTTATGAACTAAGTAACAATAAAAAAAATTAAAAAACTAAAGCATTTCACCTTCTTAGACAACATTTACTCAAATATCATTAAAATGTACACACACATTATTTATGTGTGTGTGAAAGCAGCGCATTAATATAAAATGTGATTAAGCTGACTGGAACTACCCGTGTGTTAAACGGTTTTAATGCACACCTTCCAGCCAATCAGAATCGAGTATTCAGACAGACCATGGTATATTATTACTTAACGGACCTGAGCTAACATGAACCAACTTTGAAAAGAACTTTTATTAATTAACATTAATAATTAAAGAAAAAATGACTACACTTATTATTATTATTACTACTACCTTTAATGATAACAATACTACAAATACTATTATTATTACTGCTATTATTATTATTATCCTTATTATTACAACTATATTATTATTATCCTTACCCTATTATTAGTATTATTACCACCACCATTAATAATAGCAACTATTATCGTAAAAAACTACAACTATATATATATATATATATATATAGTTTTTTTTAGGTATTATTATTATTAATAATAATATTTGGTAATATAATAATGGTAGTTAATATTAGTATTATTATTACTATGAATGGTGGTAATAATAATGGTATTGATTTTATATATATATATGAAGAGTTCAGATGCAAAAGCCTCTAAATGCCATTTTAAATTTTCTTCTTTAATGATGATTTTTATCAAACTTGTATATTTAAGTTCAGTAATTTCACTTAAATGGCAATGATAATTACCTATTAATTGTTATTTAAGTGAAATTACTGAACTTAAATATACAAGTTTGATAAAAATCATCATTAAAGAAGAAAATTTAAAATGGCATTTAGAGGCTTTTGCATCTGAACTCTTCATATATATATATATAAAATCAATACCATTATTATTACCACCATTCATAGTAATAATAATACTAATATTAACGACCATTATTATATTACCAATATTTATAATAATACCTACTATTATTACCAATAATAATAATAATTGTTTATTATTATTAGTAGTAATAGTTATAGACTTCACAGAAGCAGAGCTTTGGGCCAAGATCTGATTAATATAATCACAATATGTGAATATTAATATATATTTTGTGAATAGAACTTCATTTATAGTTTTGACTTTTTTTTTTACTTCATCATTATATTATATAGGCATGTGGTGATGTGGTTTGAAAACCTTTGCTCTAGGTGATAAGAATAAACAACACACACTTCTTCAGGGTAAACTACATTTATGTTAAACGTGAAAATATCGTCCCTGAAACCCAAGTGATGACACCTGACACAAGTCCTTTACTGCAGTCCTCTAAAATATGCACGCGTCGGTTGCATATTCATAAACACCCGGACAATTCAACACACTGCCGAGTCATTCTGACTGAAAAGTGTCATTCTGCACACTTCACATACACACTACACACTTGGATTCAAGCATTTCTAAGACATATATGAAGTAGAAAAGAGTGAGATGCAGTTTCGCTGCTGTGTTTCTGTGGATGGATTGAGGGAGAAGGGGAACACTGACCTTTGCTCCTCCTCCATCTCTGCATTGGTCATTCTCTTCTCAAACTTGGCGGTCCTCTTGTTACCGGCCTCGCCCTCGTCTGCCACTAAAGCGGCGGCCACATCTGAAGGAGAGGACGGCACATTTAACAATCAAATGACAAGAGGAGAAAACTAGCAGTGCGTGATGCTCCCTTTTCCTCTAGAGGATTTTAAATATATATATATATATATATATATATATATATATTGTAAAATATAATTTATTCCTGTGATCAAAGCTGAATTTTCAGCATCATAACTCCAGTCTTCAGTGTCACATGATCCTTCAGATATAAGATCCCTCTGATACAAGAAACATTTCTGATGATTGTGTGATGTTGAAAACAGTTGTGGTCAATATTTCTGTGGAAACAATGCTACATTTTTGAAGATTCTTCAATGAATAAATTTTAAAAGAACAGAATTTATCAGAAATGACACATCTTTTGGTGACCATGTAAAAGTATCTACTGTCATCTTTGCTGAATAAAAGTATTATGCTCTTTTTTGAAAGTCTGGTCTGTTCTCTACTAGAACAGGTTTTCATACTTGAATGTAAAAACACACACATTATTTGTCCCATATCTCTTTCTGACTCTGTAATCTAGAAACTGTGCCTCTGACCTCGAGAGCTTTCACTCAAAAGATGCAACTTTGCGATGCTGTTTGCGAATGTTCGTTGGAACGATGTTTTCAGTAAACACCCACTCATTGAACGATGCGGATAACTATGCCCCTCTCTGCGCAAGGGCCCCTGGGAAGTGCCCAGATTGCCCGTATGGTAGATCCGGCCCTGACCACACTTCATCTGTATGCAAATCGCAGGTGTTAAAAGTGTCCGACAACAAGACAGTGTCACGTAAGAGTCCAACCCTTCCTGTGTCTGGTTCCTAACCCAGATTATCAACCTACCAGCCTAATCCACTTGCAGGCCTGTCAAGTTATTGGCGCAGGCAGTATTAATTCGAGGATAAAGGTTGTCTGTACATGCTGTTGACGGCTGAACCCTGTTTCACACGCACTTCATATCTGCAGTATATCTGCTGCTGAAACTGGGTCTGTTGCGGTTATAATTCAGAAACTGACATGTATTGGCACTGCAAACACTGCTCCTTTGCGAACTGGGGTTATATCTGAGCAGACCCACTGATGTAAACACAGCAGAATCCGCAACCTAGAGGCCAATGTACCGCTGGGAGGACAAAGCAAGTGTGTGACCGGGACCCAGTTACACATTGGCGTCAATTTACAGCCGCAGAGCACAAAGAGACTGTGTGTTTGAGTGGGCCGCCCCATGAGTGTTTATCTCTGCCAGCACTTACAGCCCTGCTCTGAAAACACTCGCTCTCATGGAGTATAATAAAACTTGCTGCTCACGGGCAGACATGACGAGAGGAATGTGAAGAAAAGGGATGCATATAAATGCTTTCCCTCCAGAATATACATTTCCTAGAGGAAATGGCTCCTTGTCGAAATAGGAGCCTAATAGACCAAATTTTTGGTCACACTTCACAATAAGGTCTCATCATTTATTTATGTTAGTTAATGCTAACATGACCTAAAACGTGTTTTAAAGCATTTGTTAAACTTTGTTTTTGTCAGTTAGTAAAAAAA